GGTTACCGTGATCAAGAAGGCGGTTCCCCCGAAGCGAGGCTTGGCCATTGCACTACGGTTGAGTTGACCTTTGCGATTATTCCTAATGCGAATAACTCGTGCGTGTAATTTTTGATAGTCGGGAATGGCGTTCGCGCCGTCCCGGATAATTAATAAATTTCAAATACTTTTCTTAATAAAAGTAATCAGTGTAATAATAGGTTTATAAGTTTATGAAGTTTAACAATTTTATATAGTATAGTCACACAGTGGGTTCCGTGCTAGTATCAAATTTCTGTTGATTTTACTATAAATAAATAAAAATGGTTTTAAAAATAATAAATTTACTTTGAAATAAATAGGATAATAGAAAATATTCTTTGATAGTGATTTTTACAAGATATTTGGAATTCTAGTATGTATTAGCATATATATGGTATAGATAATTATTATTACATTGTTGTGATATTTGAAGAGTGTTGTACAAAATCCATTTAATCATTCTACATAATTATTTTTATTATTTCAAAAGTTACATTTTTATAGCAAGTTTTAATATTTAACTTAATATCTGAAAAGTACTTCCGCTTGCTAAGCCAGATATTCGCCTGCCGATACTAAGAAACATAGAATAGAGGTTATTTGAGATAGCTTAGACCCCCTAGTTCCGAGTCAGTAATAAAAATGACAGCATTCTTAGATCTAAATTTAAATTAGATTTGAGTTTAAATCATTCACTCGTTTAATAGTTGAACATATTCCAGTTAACTAACACATCTCAAATATGAAAATAAAGAAGACAGACATCTATAGATGGTGTGAGATGCAAAATTATACTTCCTCGTATCTTATTTGTTCGTGCCCTATAATTGCTGGAAATCGAATCAAGCACTTGTACGACTTGAATTAAACTATTTATAATCTATATATATATGTATATATATATAAGCACAATATTGTACATAATTATATATAATTGATTTTCGTTCAGTTAACAAAAACTAAATAAGTTTATAATAAGTATAACATATAAAAGTCGTTTAAAATTTTTCAAATTGATTTCCTATTAGTTTTTTTTATAACGAACCCGTTCCCTTTAAGCTTGACGCTTAGTGTTATTTTATAGTAATTTGCGGAATCCGAATGTGATATATAGATATAGATTTAGTGAAGAAGATCTTGTGCGTTGATTAAATTATAATTATAAAACAATATCTATATGTATAATTACAATATTTCAATAAGGCTCCATTATTCCAGCACAAAGTATGTACGGCATAACCGTTCGATTCGATTTTTTGTTAAATTGGTAACAATCTGATTTAAATTTATTAATAATTAAATAGTTTAAAAATAATACAAATTGAGAGGAAATATTTTAAGCAGTACATATTTCTCAGTATACCATTATTTTTGTAAATCCATTCGCACAGAAATTTTTATTACACATGTTTCTCTGTCGACCCCTGCTATAATATATTAAAACTGTCGCGGAATAAGTGCAATTGTGGTTTAATATACATAAATTTTAAACTAAAAGCTTTTAAAGTAATGTCGTACAAATTGTAATACAAAAACAGCAGGAAAGTTTTCGTTTACTACATGAATTTGTGAATAGTCTTAATAAATTCAATAAACGAAATATACTAAGTATTTACAATAAAAAAATATAATACATTAATTTAACTCTATATTTATAAATTTGTTATTATTAATATATATATGAGTAATTAAAATAATAAGTAACTTTAAATAAATAGAAAAATCGTTACCACAATTTTAAACCGCATATATTAAGAATTATAGCAGCACATTAGTTGTAGATAAGAAAGAAAAGATTATGTTTAGTAAAGATTTAAAATAATTTTATTTTATAAAACCTATGGAAAATCGATTGTTAGAAAACATTATATAACTATGATGACTAACTATGATCAGTCATTACTAAAAAACTATGATTATCAGAAGGCGTAATGGTGCACTTAAGCTATACCTAGAAAGAGTTCCTTATAGTAACCTAAACAAATTTAGGCTATTGACAAACCTAATGATGTGTCTTGGTTCTAGTTTCTAAACAGTTCAATTCAATTTAAGTTAAATGAATATACTTAACTCTATTCCCAGCAATTATAGGGCGCAAGCAAATAAGATATGTGGAAGTATGATTTTGCATTTCACACAATCTGTAAGTGTCTTTGAGATGTGTTAGTTAATAGGAATAAATTCAATTACGAAACCAGTGAATAATTTAAATTCAAATCTAATTTAAATTTAGATTTAAGCGAATTTTCATTACTGACTCGAAGCAGCTGTAAGGCCTTTCGGGTCTAAGCTATCTCAAATAACCTATATTCTATATTTCTTAGCACCGCACACGAATATCTCGCTTATCAAGCGGAAATGCTGCTCAGATATTAAATAAATTGCTATAAAAATGTATCTTTTAAAATAATAATAAAATTTATGTAGAATGATTAAATGGATTTTCAAATATCACAAAAAAGTAATACTAATTATTTATATAAGCGCTATTATATACTACAATTCCAAATATCTTGTAAAAACCACTATCAAAGAATATTTGTTATTATACTATTTATTTTAAAGTAAATTTATTATTTTTATATTGATTTTTATTTATTTATAGTAAAATCAAAAGAAATTCGATACTATCTCTGAATAGCACGGAACCCACTGTGTGACTATACTATATAAAATTGTTGAACTTCACACACTTATAAATCTATTATTACACGGATTACTTTCGCTAAAAAAAAGTATCTGAAATTTATTAATTATCCGGGACGGCGCGAACGCCATTCCCGACTATCAAAAATTACACGCACGAGTTATTCGCATTAGGAATAATCGCAAAGGTCAACTCAACCGTAGTGCAATGGCCAAGCCTCGCTTCGGGGGAACCGCCTTCTTGATCACGGTAACCCCTACGCCAGGTAAGTATGCTTTTTACCGCTCTATTTCAACTATTTGAACATCAGCAAGACTGAACTCAATGAGAATTAAAATCACAATCATACCAAACAAAAATGTATCTACACGTTTTCTATCTTTGTATCTCTATTCCTTTTTTCAAGCATTCCGTAATTCCTTACTACGAGGGTTGGTTAATTGAAATCAGAACAAACATTAAGCGTAAGAGAGCATAATCTGCTGGTAAACACGAGTGAATCTTAAATAACTGGAGAGGAATATAAATGATGTTTTTTTTTAAATTTATTAAGATATACGTAGTAGGTATCTTATTCCTTCTCAATTTATATACTTTTACCTATTTCTACTTTTTATTATTATAAAATTTATATTAAGTTTGTATAGACTGTATTAATATTTAAATTTAAATTTTAGAATTTATTAAACAAGAATGAAAAAGTAGAATTTTTTAAATGAATAAGAAATTCTCTATGGTACGTTTGAAATTTGGTTTTCAAAGAATTTTATTAAGTCATCTTAGTTCACCCAAATTATATAATCGATCAAGATTAGATATTAGAAAATTTATGTAGAACTTTATTGAATCAACGATAATAAATAGTAAATTTACAAAAAAATATGCAATGCTCCTCACATAGTAATTACATCAACCGACGCTCCAAAAAAATTTAAACAATTGCATCGTTATATCTGTTTGGGATTTGAGATGAAAATCAAATAATCATTAGTCCAAACACTGATCATATATGGGCTGGTTTTGGAAAATGTCTGTTTATGTCATCGGCAATTATTTGCTACATGTTCTCATGCTAGAAAATTTTATAACCTATAAAATTTAAATGGTCAAAAAAGACGAAGAAAAAATATTTTTCATGATTTATTAAAAATAAATATAGAATTGACAAAATTTTAAACAAAATGAAAATAATTATAAATTGAAAAAGGCGTACGAGTTTTTTTTTGAAATTCACAAAAAAAAGTTGAATGCATTAACTTTAAAATCAGATATGAAATTTTTAAATACAGAGAATGTAATTTTAGGATTTACTCGCAACTTTGTTGTTAGGTGTAGGTCACCTTGAATTTGTTGTTAGAAGTTATGATTTATTGATTTATTTCAATATATATTATTTATCTTGAATTTATTGTTAGAGAATATAATTACCGTTATATAGCCTTTATATTACCTCCACAATAGACTTAAAGATTAATTAGCATGATCGTAAGAGGAAAATCCTTCTCATCTTTCTATCTAGTAGAAATAAGGGTGGCATGTCATTATCGTTCAATAAAATTTAAAATCCAAATTTTTTTATTTAATATCCTACATATAAATTCTCATTTTAAATAACTTGCTTTCTTACTGACTTAACTTATGTCTTTGAAGTTTGCTTTCTCCTACACGTGTAAAAGATTTAAGTTTAATTAAACAATTATAAAATCCAATTAGTAACAAAAGGAGGAAAAGTTAAATATTTTACTCATTTCAGTTCGCTTCATAAACTCGGAATTTATATTTTTATAGAAATATGAAACTACAAATGCACAGTGGTCAAGTCATAAAAATGCGACATTGAATTAAAATTATTTCCATAACAGAAATTTGATCTATAATGCTTTCTAAATATTTATACTAAATATATTTCAAGCTAAATCGCATTGACTGTATAATGAATTTTAAATATATAGATATAGACAACTTGTAAGAATATTGTTGGGATCATGATTATAATTTCATATGTGTATTATGCATTTCTTATGGCACTACGTTTCTACAAGAAATACGTCCATTCAAAATTTATCTTCAATTTTCAAAAAAATTAAGGAGCTTCTGCTATCTGGTTCCAGTTTTTATCTGCAACTTATTAACTGATAATCTTAGCAGGTGTTAATCCTAATTTATCTGAAAATGTGATTTATATAGGATTTAAAAAAAATTTAAATAAAAACAAAAAATGTATCTGGAATTAGTTTTATAATTATATTTATTTAATATCCTTATAATAATTAAACTTATTTCATATTGAATTTTAAAAAAATAACTTTATTTGATAAATTAGGTTCAAAATTCGAAATCTTTCCAAATTAATTTCATTCTTAAAAATAAGCACTTTCAATTTCAATTGACGTATGGTAATCAGTGTTCTCGCACGGTTTATAGTTTGGAATTGGAATCCACTGTAATGGTTGGTATTTTGAATCGATGTTGTGCACAATTTTCTGGAGAAACATTAATTGCCAATGTTTCTCTATCCATTGAATTCGTACATTCTGAAATATAAAAAATATATAAAAGGTAAAATAAAATTATGATTTACCATGCTATTTAAAGTTTGTACATTTTTTACGTTTTGCTTATGGTACTGATTTAATTTTATAGCTTTTTAGCTCAGTAATTAAATTTTTAAATAACATTAGAATTTGCTACGCAATAAATAATGTTAAATTAATTATTTTGTACCTCCAATAGTATGAAAATTTCAGATGACTTGTGAGATATGGCTAATAAAGTAAAATAAAAAACCATGGAAATGCAAGAAGTTTCAGAACTAACTTAGTCGTAACACTTTCCTTGTAAAAAACTATCATTATAATAATTATAACATAATTTGTGGCAAATTAGTAAATTAAATCCTTCAAATTGATTGTAACGCAGTAATCGGATATAAGAAGATAATTAATATATTTGCAGATATTGAAAGCCATTTGATTCTATTTAGACATATTAATCGTTCTGCTTATCTATCCTTTTGTCTGTCACTCCGCTTATATGCAAACTAACTTTTTAATATTTATTTTATTATAATTAGTACTGTATGTATAATTTAATATTTAAACTATGGGATAATTACGAATATTCGGGTTGGCATAAAATGCGGTAGTTCAGATTATACAGATAACTCAACTTATATCAGTTGTTCGAATACTAAAGATACGCATAATTGGACTTCTTGAATATATGAGCAAGCCACAGAACAGGCTTGCTAGTTAGTCTTAAAGTTCGATTTCGCGTTAAAAAGAGTTCGTGTTTTATTTTCTTTGTCCATGCTCATCTTTAATTAATAGTAATTTGAATTAGTTTTCAACTTAAATTATTCACTGGTTTCGTAATTGAATATATTCCTATCAACTAACACATCTCAAATATGAGAGTAAAGAATACAGACACTTATAGATTGTGTGAAATGCAAAATCATACTTCCACATATCTTATTTGCTCGTGCTCTATAATTGCTGGGAATAGAGTAAAGTATATTCATTTGACTTAAATTTAATTGAACTGTTTGGACTTCTTGAATATATGAGCAAGCCACAGAACAGGCTTGCTAGTTAGTCTTAAAGTTCGATTTCGCGTTAAAAAGAGTTCGTGTTTTATTTTCTTTGTCCATGCTCATCTTTAATTAATAGAAGACTAAAAATTTTTGTTCTTACCGATTTGACATAGCTGTCATCCTGTAAAAATATGGATTTAATTAATTTTTTAGACTGGTCAGGTTAGTTTATTTGAATGAGGAAGTCTATCTTTCAGCGTTGTCTTTACGGTGACTACTACGATTATTTCGGCTTTTCTTCTGGCCTGTATATGAATAACGCTAATCTGTGGCATCACAATGAACCATTATTTTAGTTTAAGTGGGCTTATGTGGGTAAGGCGGTTATACCAATCCAACGTAACATCACATATAGATCTTAAGACAAATAAATGACATTAAACTTTGTAGCACGATTATTTTTTGAAATTGCTTGCAATTGTTATACACGAAATTCTTTAAAAAATTAATTCCACTCAAAAAAAAAAGATGTTATGCTGCCTGTGCCTATGCAACATAAAAGATGTCTGCTCAAAAAGTATCCGGATTTTGTTGTTTGTTAACTACTCCTTAAGTAATAGACCTTTTCAAAATTTTTTTGTTATATTGGTACACTCTTTCTTGACATATGGTACAAGTTTGAGCGCCATCTGTCAATTACTTTGTTTACAGCAGCTGTTAATATGAGACTACCTCAAGTGCATTTAGCGATTTTTATTGTGGAAAATTCTTGTTGTACGCGATTTTTTGACCAAACACGGCACCACTGTCATCGCTTAGGCACCATATTCGCCTGATCTGGATCCGTGCGACTTTTTCCTGTTCCCGAAACTCAAATTGCCGCTTCGTGGTAAGCGTTTTGAGTCGATTAAATCGGTAAAAGAGAATTCGCCGAAGGAACTAAAAGCCATATTTGCACGGGCCTACGAAAAGTGTATGGAAGATTGTGTTAAGCGTTGGCATATGTGTATCGCTTCAGAAGGAGCATATTTTGAAGGGGATAAAATAAATTTGGAATTAAATTTAAATTTGTGTGTTTTATTTACAAAATCCGGGTACTTTTTGAGGAGGTAGGAGTTAGGATTTTTACCGATTATCTGCACATATGACTAATTATTCTAGTTAGATCTGTAAAACTTCTGAATAGAATAGAATAGTTATTCTAAAATAGTGTTTCTTAAATGTGAATAAACTATTGATTGCTATAAAGACAATTGCCGTTATTACGAAAACAAAGAAAAGAAACAAAAATTTCTCAATATTAGCAAACTAATTTTACAGATGTTCTATCCAATTTCAACTACTGTTTTTGTAGAACTGTTTATTTGAAACTATTTGCTTTACACTTATTATTAAGTGTTATTATTAAGTTCTTATTACTTAGTATATAGCGCTAATAATTTTTATTTTTATTTATATATTTTAAACTAATATATTTGTATTTATTTAAAAGGAGCTAGTACAGGTGTTATTTGTAGTGAACCAGCCTTGCAATAGTTTATTTATTTTTAACAAAGTGGGGTAAGTTTAGTCCATCTGAGTTAAAGTGCTGTTAGTTTATGTATATGTGCGCAACACATATTGCACCAAAAAGTCTTGTTTAGGCAGAAAACCCAGATTAGGGAAATTGGTATATGTCATTACTAGCCATAATATTGGCAGTTTTGGGATATGTCCACCGGACTGTTACAAAAAATCTAGTTGTTATTAAATTTTTTTTTTTTGGTTTTTTTTATAATACAATATGTGCACGTAGGCTTTAATAAACATTAAAAATATTTATATTTTTCAACTTCATTCTTTAGTCATTCATATAAACAAATTTTAAGAAAAAACCATTTATTTTGCTAACACTAACATATTACACATATTTAGGGCAGATTATTAAATTGCCTGAAAAATACATTTAAAATTGTGTAGGTGTAGGTTAAAAGTTGACTAAATGCCAGAAATTAATCATAACCAAAAACGATGTGTCTAACCACGTTCACACAAAAACTTTTATCAATATAACAACAAAATAAGGAAGAAAAATATTTATGTATAATATATACAAACGAGTGAATATGTATGGAAGTATGGGAAAATATTGTTATAAAAATGAATTTATATCTTTCGCTACGTGCCATAATCGTAAATATCAAACTGTTTTGTCCTGCGTGAATGCCTTGTACGGAGAATTAAGTGTATAAACATTTCACCTAATACATTACAAGTATGAAAATGCATGTCCTCTATAAGGACAAAATTTAACTTATTAAAATATTTGCTAAAATATACTTTGAAGCCACATCACCCAATATATTTTTTATTATTTTTGGGTTGTTATGGGTTCTGTTTGTGTTTTGAATGAAAACAACATTTAAAAAAAGTTACTGAAAAATTTTGTATTTTTAAATTCTGTGGTACAATTTTTAAGCCAAGCATTAATATATACTTGTACTACATACTCGTACACATATACATATATTTACATTGTTATTGACTTGTTTCATAATTTGTTATGTTACATTGCCCCAATGGCATATAGATTTTATACTTAATCCACATTGTCTTTAACTAGCTCTAACGAAATAGAATTTTAAAAAACTTTGTGCGTTTCTAAAGCTTAAAGCGTTTTAAAGGATTTATGCTTGCGTTTGTCTAAAATCTCTGCAGTACAAACAGATGAGTTTATAATTTGTCAAAAAGGACAGTTTGACGTACGCATTGCTCTAGAAAATAATATTTATTATGGTATTGTCCTTTTATTGGTACAAATTAATTATATAAGGGATTCAGTTTACTGTCATTTCTGAAAATATTGCTTCACAAATAAGAGCAGAAATAATCATTTAAATAAGAAAATCCTTAAAACAAGAATTTGTTTGAAAACAGAACAAAACGAAAATTCTTGCAAATTATTTGTTTTGTGTTGAAATATTTTTAAATGTCTTACATACATTACATTCTCAAAATAGTTTGCAATTTTGCTAAACACATAACCAAACACATCAAAAAGTTTTTCTAAACATAGTTTCTGATTTTAAACTTACTTGAATGCATTGTAAAAATAATTTTGTAGTTTCTGCAGGAATAGTTTTAAAAATGAATTTCATTCAACATACCTTTAGTAAGAGTGTGCTTCAAACTTTCTTCAGCTTCTTCAGGTATAGTCGAGATATTCGTATGCTGATTTGAAGTTACAAAAGGACTTGTAGCTAAATGCTTCTGCTGATATGCTGGTGGACTTAATGAAGTACCATTTGGTTCATTACGCATTACTTGTAGCATTACTTCAGCCTATAAATAAAATAATCTTTAAATATTTGCAGATAATACAAAGCTACTAACATATTAATGCCTATATATTAGTTTATACATTTACATATGTTTGTTATAAAGGAAAAAATCAGATTTATCTTACGAATGCTTACTCTCATCTGTGTTCGGCCACAACCACGTCCTTGTTTGTAGTCTTGGTATTGTGATATCACGCAAAGCAGACAATAGCACTTAATAAGAAAAATAAATTAATTTTATTACAAAAGGTAGAACAAAAACATTTCTTGGTGATTTTGCACAATAAAAATAAAGCAGCATACATTTTTTCAACAATAACAATTAATTATTTTGATTATTTCTATTAATAAAGTGAATTTGTAGACAACTTACATTGAGACACATTATGAAAAAGTCTATGGTAAATAGAAAGCCAACAATTGGGTCGAAAATTACTTTCTCCTTGAATGATAAGTAAATCAAGTGTGCAATTTCAATTAAAACATCGCACAGCATAAAACTTATCCATGGTATTAAAAGTTCACGTTTGTCCTTTGTTAAAGAATTTTTGTTAAAATTATGTATATGTATTTAAAATATTTAATTTTATTAAAAATAGCAAGAAAACTCACATTTTTTAAACCTACTAACACTAAAATTGATGAAAATGCCAATAGGAAAGAACAGCCAAAAAATAAAACGTTGAATATCACAGTGGCTGCAAAAAAATTATATATTATATATCAAAAAATTCATTGTTGTTGTAGTAAAACTTCATAAAATTTAATATACAAGCCAAATAAACAAATTTTTATTTGTTTTGTTTTTCTTTGTGTAAATATGCTTTATATAAAAAATAAACAAAATTATACTATATGGTAGTCCTTTGTGAAACTATTCATACTCACTTGCCGTTATGTCTCCTTTTTCTAGTATACTTTCCCCAGCGGGTTGGTCTTGTTTGCCAAAAAGATATTCTTTTTCTTCATTCAAATATATGAATAATATTAAAGTAGAAAACCCAAAATATATCTGAAATGTATATGCAAAACAAATTTTATGAAAGTGCAAAATGGTAAATAAATTTATTTATTTTTGTCACATAATTTTAAAGGCAGTGACACATAATTTGACTTTAATAATAAAATATGAAATAAAACTAATATGAAATGATTAATATATTTATGTAAAAAAAAAAATATTATATTTATATATTTTTTAACTACATATTTAATTATATCTATATTTTAAATAATTTGTTATAATAAATTGTATAGCAATACGAAAAAAATTTTCTTGAAGTCTATAACATATGCTCATTTGTTAATATAATCTCTTGAAAGTCAAATATACTAATAGATATTTCCAATAAACCAATATCTTTAACATAACGTGAATGATTAAGTTTTGATTTGGTTTTAAAAGCAAATAGTCAGTTTAAGTTAAATCTTATGAGCACACATTATGTATAAGCAAAGTAAACTTAAATTTATTGGATATTCCCTTCGATAAAATAGTAGTTCCATTACTTATGTTAATAAAAAATAATATTGTAATACTGATACGAATACTTTTAAAAGTAATAAAGGTGACTTGTTTAATTTTTCTGAACATAATTGACCTTCAGGTTCCTTTCTTATGCACGGTCACATATATACTACTAATATTGTCTATTTTCCCCTAGTGGGGCATAGAGACTCCATAATTCTGCTTAATCTGGCTCTACTTAGTGCTTCTTTGTAGATGTCGTTCCATGTATATCGTGTTTTGGCTAGCTTACTTTCGACCGTTCATCTCCAAGTTTCCTTGCTATATAATTTCTCGGTTGTCTAAGCGCATGGCCTATCCACTTACATTTTCTCATTTTTATTTTATTTTGTGCTGCTTTTTGAGCCGTTTGGTTCAGTAGGCGTTCATTCGATATTCGATCTGGCCACCATATTTTGAGAATTCTACGTAGACACTTATTGACAAACACTTGCATCTTTTTCTCTACATGTCTGGGATGCTTCCGTGTTTCACAGCTGTAGTGTTGCTTTTTGAGTCGTTTGATTTATATACAAGATGTAAATTAATAATTAGCAAATATGAGGAAAATTTATAATATTTATTTTGTGTTTGGCTTATATAAAAGCATATGTAAACTTAATAACTAAATATTTATTTGTTTCAAAAATATAATAATATATAATAAATCCCTATTTACATATATCCAAGCCATGGATATTTTCTTTGGATTTATTTTACATGATTGGCTTATCTTAATTAACTATAAACACTCAAAGACCCTAAATGAACATTATTCATAAAATTAGTAAGTAAAAAAAATGATAATAGAGATTGGTCAAAAGTTGGTATTCTACTTTACTGAATTTATAAAAAATCCAGAACTGTTGATTTTCATGATTACACTTTTAAAAAACAATTTTATGAACTAATATCCGAAGCAAAAAACTATATTTAGTGATTTCGAATCAAAAATATACCATTTGATTGCTGTATATATGCAATAAATAAATACTTAAGAAAGCAACTTACAGTACTAAAAAGCAATACTAGGTAGTACGTAGAGAATCGTTACAAAAATTAAATAGTAAAAAATAACATAAAATATTTTTACAAAGACTTTTGCAGAAAATTTCTATACAAATATTTTCAATGTTAAAAGTGCCAGTTAATAGTACTTAAAAAATGAAAGAAGTTAAAAAAAATTTTTGTAAAAAAACTACTGTTGAAAATGTTCAATGTTAAAAATTTACAAAATAAGTCCTCGATAAGTATTTGAACTTCCGTTCATCAAAAGTTTGCTTTTTTTTAAAAGGTGATTTTTAAGTTATTTAATCTGAAGTATGAAAAGTATTTAAATTCATTCTTAAAATTGGTTAACACAAGGAAAAACTTTGCAGTTTTTGCTACGGTTTAAAGTTTTTCCATCAGGAACTTAAATATAACAACAACTGCATGAAATAAGTATGTACAATATTATATGCAATAAATAAAATACTTGAAATAACGTTATTTATTTCTTAATCTTGTATTCTTTAAACTTTATTACGTATAATCTAAAACTAAACCATAACTTTTTGTATTAATTGGTGATTATTTCGATTATACCTAAAAATACCAACAAGTGTTTCTATAAAAAATGACAAAGTCCTTTGAACATAATTAACATAATTTACTGGTTAATTATTGAAATGTTGTTATTCTTATATATGCTAAGGCGTATGAAATGACTCTATATAATCTTCCTAAAGATTTTGGTCTGACCAGGTGGTAGTTTGATTCTACAGTTTCTTCTTTTGATTCTACAGTTTCTTCTTTTTCTATGTTAAATGCATTTTTTTAAGGCTTATATTTAAGCATTCAATTTTTAGATCAATAAGCTGAAATATTTTTAAATTACGTCAATTCTTGTTTGCGTTACAAATTCTTGTTAATATAAATAATTATTATTTGAAAAAAGCAAATATAAAAAAAGGAATATACACACAATATAACATCACACAGTTTAACAAAGTATTCAATTACTTCAAAAATTTTTATGAAAAAATACCAATATTTTTTACTAGCCTCTTTATTACATAAAGATTTTTTTTACTGCTACTCCTACTTCATTAATTGCAACTCAAAATTGAAAAGAAAAATATTTCAATTACTTTTTTATGTGTTACAAAAAAATAATGGCTGTAGATGAGTATTTTTGGCTACTATATATTTATATGTTGGATAAATAATATATGTATGTATTATTGCAAATAAATGTAGAATAAATTCACTTTTGAGAAAAATTTAATGGATACAAAGGAAATTTTTTTATTTTGAATATCATATTCAATAGATTGCATTAAGAATAATTATTGATTATATGGAATAAGAATCGTTTGTTTAATCATGGGTAAAATTTTATTAATTATTAATTAATTATTTTAAATAATATAAAAAGAATTTTTAGTTGTTGTTCGAAAAAATCCTCTATATTAAATATACAAGTTTCTATTAAATATAATAGTCACTTTCGTGTGAAAAATTTGACGTTAAACTACAACTTATATTCTCAAAATAATGGTCTCGCCCGTGAGAATCGTGTAGGAACATTAGCATGACTTTTGCACTATTACGTTCATAGATTAAGTTTTATACATAAGAAAGAATACATAAATCATGCAACAAATAAAACCACCACAAACAAAATTGTATTGAAATTAAACAATTAAAAATAAAAATATAATTAATTAATTCAATTATTCTACAGCTGGTTTATGATTTCGTTCTGATATAAAAACAGAAAGTGAATTTGTTAATAAAACCTTTCACAGCAAAGTCACAAAACTTCAAAAGAATATAAAAGTTAAGACGTCATTCGGTCAGTTGATTAAGGAGCGCTGACACTGAGCTTCAAATTTGGCAGGGCACGAGTGCGATTCCTGATATTTGCAGTCTCAAAAAATTATTTACAAATAATTAAATACAGAAATATAACCAAAAGTACTGATGATGTGTATTTGGCAATACCCGAAACAGCTCACTCAAAACTTCAATTAATTGAAATATTATAAAATGAATTTTTACTGTTGTAGTTCAGTACTATTCTAAAAAAGCTCTTTATAAGCATATAAGAAATCAATATAGATCATTGAAAAATAAACGAATATAAGTTTTTCAAAAAATAATTGTCAAAAATTATTAAATATTGTTGTTTAATGAATCATATTCATTTGATTTAACATAACGAATTTTTCGATTTAATTTGTGTATAAAATGAATTTGTTGTAATTAATGTTTAATTAATTTTTTGTTTAATATATATTGTATTATGAAGTTCGTTCATCAATTTTATTATTTTAATTTATTTTCTAAAATACCTGTAATTTGATATAATTAAAAATTGAGTGGTATTTGAGAGAATCTATTCACATTATAAAATTAGAAATTTTATAGTTTTAATTAAAAATTGTTCAATACACTTAACTAAAATGTAAAATCATATGATTTCAAATAAAAAATACTGAAATAACCAAACACTTGTAAATTTATTCACTTCAATATGCAAAATATATTAAAAAAATTTCAATTTTACGCAACTGCAAAACTAAAAGAGCGGATTGTATATTATTAATATTAAACAACACAGGCAATACAAGTACCTTTATGGTTTTTATAAAAAATGTTGACTAGTTTTATGTCATAACACCCTAACAACATTAGTTGAATTTTTTAATCAATAAAAGATATTTTAATAAATTGTTGTTTTGTTTTTGTATTTTATTAAAGGACGAAAACTTGATTCATTTTAAAATGAAGTGTTAGTTAAATTCAGAACATGCGAATAAATAAACATTAAATGAGTTTAGACATCAAAATATGTTATTGTGTACATGACAACCTAAAACACACATACATTTTAAAAAGGAATTTAAATAAAATAAATTAATTTGTTTTGTTTTTGTCACTAAAGTTTACTTAATACTAAATATTATAAAATAATAGTTACATACATGTAATTGTTACACTAGCCTTTATACGAAGAGCAATATGAAACTGAAATCTGAATACATTAAGACTGAAAAGTTTTCGGAAATTCTCATTTAAAATTCGCGCGCTGTATATTTTTCGATATTTTAAGTTTATGTAGTTTGGCAGCACTGTCCTTAATTACTATGCCAAAAATGAGCTCGATCTGTCAGACAGTTCGTTTACGGCAGCTGTTGAAACCAGTTCACCTCAGTAGTGCGTTGCGAAATGTCTTCGACGGTCGTACGACCGTCCTGGAAGGCTTTGTACCACTCATAAACTTGAGTTTTCGATAAAACTGATTCCCCATAAGCCTTTTGTAGCATTCGCAACGATTCTGCACACGAAATTTCGTTCGAAACACAAAATTTGATGCAAACTCTTTGTTCAATATTTTTTTCCATTGTTTTTTTCGCAACGCCCTACTGAGGTGAACTGGTTTCAACAGCTGCCGTAAACGAACTGTCTGACAGATCGCGCTCATTTTTGGCATAGTAATTAAGGACAGTGCTGCCAAA